TTTGATGTGACGGGGATTCGAACCCGCGACCCTCAGATTGCGAGTCGAGCGCCCTAACCACCTGGCCATGCCACATGGAGGAGTGGTGTGCTTTATGCACGAGTATTTTGCAGTTAAAAGTAGGCTGAAGGGCTATTGTAAAGATGACAGGGTCGTCAGATAGAACATAAAAAGATGTGGCAACATGGACTGTAACACGAAACGAAGGTTCAACATAGTTTTCATATAATTTACACAATCATCTTTATGATATCGGAAAACCCTTCGCTTAATTAACTATGCATTGGAATGTTAGCAGAATGACTCCAATCCTAGATCCTACTTAGATGTTTCTGTCAATGAAGAATTCATTTGCTCAGCAGTTTGTACACATTTTCAATATTAAAGTGTTAATTATGACTAATCGAAGGCCTATGTATGGGAAATTCAGTTTCATCTGTTTTGGCCAGTATATTTATATTCAAGATAGAATGCATTGCTATTTCCGCTTCTGTTCATCCTCTAGATTTTTGGGTTAGTTTTGTAAGAATACAGGTTGTTTTAACACTAGGGGTGTTTAAAGATCATGTGACCTCTCTTCGTTGGCTCTTGGTACTGGTTTGTTAGAAACGCTTCATGAAAAGGAACAACACATGGAGATGAGAGATTTAACATGGGCGATTTAATTAACTCTCGAATGCCTCAAGCAAAACGGAAAAGACGAGTCGACAAGGCTGCAAAAGTGGGAGATTCAGACTTCGTTGTTTCTCGAAACAGACAGTCCATGTAGGACAAAGGGTCCTTCAGGACAGCAGGGATATGTAAATCCAATGCCAGAGAACTTCTGGTAAGGGGGGGGGGGAGTACGGGAATGCCCCAGGTAAACCCACTCTCACTGATCAAGCGCCGTAAAATCTACCTGACCAGTGCCCGAGTCTTGGAAGATTTTATCAACGTGAAAAGGAAGGAGAGTTGTGACGCCATCCCTAATTTTGAACTTCCTATTACAGAGAAGGCAACTGGCTGGAAGCACCCACCGCTAACTTTTGGGCTACTCTTAACAAACGAATAGTGTGGCTTACTGTCACATTAAAACACCGCCTTGGCTTAAAGACAAGTACGTTCTACGCCGGGTTTCGATTCCGCGACCCAATTTCTATCACAAGCCGTGCCTTTATCAATATATGAAATTAAATGTAAGAACTGTGATAATTCTTACATCAGAGAAACTAGATAGCTTTCAACAAGATTGCAAGGGCACTTGTAAGTTACCTCACATACATTTGAATAGATGATTAAACACAATTAGTCGTTAGATCTTCCAGATGATGAAATTGTTGACTCAGAAAAGAATGTAAATCTTAGAAAAAATTAAATAAAATGTTTTAAATCAAAAATAAACAAATTTACAGATACTTATTTTCATTTTCCCTATTCCTTAGCTTTTGTTCATTTCTAGTACAATATCTTTCAGAGACGTAAAATCATAAATGATACATATATATAAGCCAAGTGTCAGTCGGTCACGCTCGATTTCTCCAAATTTCGTGAGTTACACGAGTCCAGTTCCACTTTTTATCCTATAATACTTCCTCTTTTGATTGCCCGGTCCCATTTTAGTTGAATTTAATCGCGAACATAAGCGTAAATGGGACCAGACATGGCGTTATGTATGTGACACAACATCATTATGACGTCAAGTTAGGTAGGATCCAAATAAGAAGGCCTTGAAGACTCTTGTGAGAAATACGTCAAAAATTAGCGCTAATCTATGCTTGGGAATTATTAAGAAAAAGCCTTTGTTAAAACAGATTGAAGATACCAATTATCTGCAGTGAAGAGGACGACTTTTCCCCAGAAGAAGAACAGGTGTGTATGCAATCACATGGTCATCGGATGTTTAAATCATTTAACTAAAGGCACAAATAAGTAGCATGTTTGCCCAGTTATATGTAGCATGTTCATGGAAAAGGAATTTTTTTTATTTATTTTATTCATTTCTTTTGTGTATTGCTAATTTTATACGGAACAGTTTCGGGTTTCTAGTAGTTTTCAATCATATTTGATGGGGTTTTACACTATTTACTAATATTGTTGCACGTGACAGTTTGGTTCTATTCTAAGACTGTCACCTGATGGTGTTAGGTAAACATAATTTGTTAGAGCTTTTTAAACATATTTACTTTTTACCTGTTAATAAACAATAACATTTAGCTTAATAAGTTTTATTCACAAAATGTAAGAACTATAAATTTATTTTTCGAAAAAACATTGGAAAAATGTTTGAATATACTCCACTTCACATACATACACGAATAATAAATAGTTGGAATTTAGATATTTAAACCATTATTATTATTTGAAACAATTATTTCGATTAATGCGTTTTTTGTACGCAAAAGCTGCTTAGAGGATTCAAAAACATTATTAAAAAACAAAAAAAAAACGAGAAATTATCTGTTAAAATAACGCTACATCATATCTGTAAACAAGATGAACTTTAACCAATTAAGGTAACTGTACTGTATTTAATCTATACGTTATTATATCTCACGGTCACGTATATCAGATAGTTGGGTAACTAGCTGAAAAACATTTTATCTGGACTTGATGTAAAGTCCTTTTATTCATCACTAACAATCTAAAATATTTTAGTGACGAATAAATGGCTTTATATCAAACCCTAACAATTGTTTGCATTATATTACTATAACCACTAATGAGCGAAACTACTCTACTGCCAAATGATGTTTTAGACCTCTACGTCATTCACAGACACTTCCTTTTCTTCGTCGATGTTACACATTTTACTGAAGAACTAAAAAATCACAATTAACTTACCTGCAAATATGCTATAATTGGGTTAAGAACCCAAATATAACACAGTGGGTGATTAGCCATTATGTTGATTAAAAATGAAAAAAAAAACAACAAATCTGAAGTTAATTTTGTGTAGCACTTTTATTATCATACAGACATTAAAAATAAATAAATAAATACTGAAACACTAATTTTGGTTTCAACGAATCTGTGGTGCGTACAAAATTATGGCTTGCAATAGTAAAGAACTGAAACGTATACAGATTGTTAATATTACAAGAATATACATACAACCGTTGAGTTCATGATCATATATTAAGCACACACAGATGTTTGCTGCACTAACTTATAAATTAACCGCTTTTGTTATCCGCGACATGCATGCGGCAGTAAGCCTAGAAACTTCGTAGATCTTCTAACTAAAATGAACACAGGTTCAATATCTTGACAAGATTCTTCGTCATTAGTCGGTCATCAGAACTAAGTATTTAATTTTGGCAGAGAGCCAGATTCTGTTTCCATGAAGGTATGCCGCTCTTTCACTCAAGAATCGTCAGTCTGATACTATCTTGAAGAGGCTAAAACGATAATAATAACTGGAAGGAGTAAGCTTACAGTACAAATTACTCTTTCTTTAGTCGAGTGTGAAGAAATGGCTGGTGTTATATTATAGAAGAGACTCAATTGCAAAGCGCTATAGATGTTGATAGTGTTTGGAATTATTCCAAAGTGCACAATTTCAACTACATTTTTTAAAATAAAACAACCTAAGCAATAAATGTTTTTCTCTTTTCTGTCATAAGAATTATCTTCGAGATGAAGGTCAGCGTTCAAACTGTTGGAGAAGCGAGTCGATATCGGCACTGCCTCGCATCCTACAAAACAATCACAATAGTTTTAGTCAGTTCTACACTATCAACAAACTTTCACAATAAATTCCCAACATGACATTATATAAAACAAATTCACAGTGATGCAGAAGTCGCACACCTACATTTTTTTTTCTAAGTCCTGTCTTTATAAATATTCAGAGTAGGCACAGTCGACTTCACGAAACAATGTCATAACAAGATCACTTCCACGCGTTCTCTGTTAATGGCACCCTATTCAATTAATGTAACAATGGAAAAGTAACATGAACACAAACATGGCTTAGAAAAATCACAAGGTCGAAACTTAAAGGAACTATGGCGATGCACGATTTTTGCATCCTGCTGTATTGCCTCTCTAGACGTAATCATATAAAGTCTTTCACAACGTATTCCGATCTAGTCTAATCATGTTCAAACTTACACGGTGTTTTCCGATCTAGTCTAATCATGTTCAAACTTAGTGTTTTCCGATCTAATCTAATCATGTTCAAACTTCCAGTGTTTTCCCATCTCGTCTGATCATGTTCAAACTTACACAGTGTTTTTCCGATCTAGTCTAATCATGTTCAAACTTACACAGTGTTTTTCCGATCTAGTCTAATCATGTTCAAACTTGCACAGTGTATTCCGATCTGGTCTAATCATGTTCAAACTTGCACAGTGTATTCCGAGCTGGTCTAATCATGTTCAAACTTACACAGTGTATTCCGATCTAGTCTAATCATGTTCAAACTTACACAGTGTATTCCGATCTAGTCTAATCATGTTCAAACTTACACAGTGTATTCCGATCTGGTCTAATCATGTTCAAACTTACACAGTGTATTCCGATCTAGTCTAATCATATTCAAACTTTCACAGAGCGTTCCTATTTGTATCCTATATTAATAACGCTATGCTATTATATAAAGTTTATTGTATACAAAAAATGATTGGTAATGATTGTTTTGTTCACGTAATTTATCCACACCGACATCACTAAGCACTACGTCAACAACACTAATTGTTCAATATTTTCACACCAGCTGGATCCTTGAATATTCTAGCTCGTTGACAATTTTACTCACTCTAGAGCTTTTTGTTTGATACTTAAGTAAAACTACATGCAGGTTACCTGCGCTACCTGTGCCAAATTTTGAACTAACTAGAGAGAAAATAGCTAGCCAACAGCATCGACCCGAAAACTCTTGGCCTATTCTATTTGAATAGTGAGAGCTGGTCGTCGCTCGTATTTCGCATCCACGACCCTAAAGCATGGAGCGTGATTCTTTGCGACAAAGAGACGCAAACCACGAACCCTTGGATACAATCCGGAACGCTAACCACAATGTCAAGCTCGGCCCACCTAAGTGATATTGCAATTGCTTAAGAACTGGTCATTAAGTAACTTCAAAATCTCGGTATAAATACTGAAAGCATATTATTCTCATTAGATTTTAAGATCAGCAATCAATGATCAATTTTTATAACGCATGGTTTTGGAGGAACAAGATTAGCGTAAAAAAAAAAAAAAGATGTGAATACACATCCAAAATTTATAGTCTTTATACTAATGAAGCCCTTTGTTTTGGACAAAATGAGAAAGAAGATAAAACGCCACACACACTGAGGTGTCCTGTAAGTCGTTCATATAGTAATGCAGTGTAGAAATATTCCAGGTGTTACGTACGATGGATACATAACTAAGCACTTTTCGTATAACACTTATAAAAGCTGCAATCTTCCAATACTTCTTCAAGATGACAACTTGCACACGTACCTAAACTGCTTAATGACCGAAAGGGTCTGTAATTTGATTAAACAGATTAACCTTGTTTGAGGTAGAATCTACAGGCAATTAAAGAGAGGAGGGAAATAGTGCAAGAAGCCAATGAGAAGCAAGCCTAATGTTCAACATCATGTGAGCAAACTGATCTTTCAGTTAATTACCTTCAATTTTATACTACAAAAAAAGAAATAACATTAAGTCTAGGTTAGTTGTGAATTTAAGTTATATTTGAAAACTATACCTTAGGTTAATAGTACTAAGCTGACCACGTAGTTAACAGAAAATCATATGGAGTACTTACTCGTTTACAATATTTGCATCTTCAATTACACACACTGTCAGTATCATTTATACGTTCAACAGTTGTTTGTTAGTCTAATAGGAAAATTCAGTGTAAGTAAACTTTATGTCTACTTATAAATCGTACTTTGCATTTGTGAAATATGCATAATATATGTATATTGTTTTTTATGTAACCTTACTTGTTTAAAAATATAATAAAACATTTGTCATGCAATATTTTAAAGTTACTCTCACGTGACCAGCTGGCAGGTGAAAGTCAATCGTGCCTAACATGAGATATCCAAATTATTTCGGATTTGCTAGAGCCCTTTGAGTTTCGTGATACAATATTTCAAAACTATCTGAAGACAGGAACCTATTATAAAATGAAAATTCATATTGATATAATAAGTGATTGATGTTGATCGCTCCGTCTCGTAATATATTTCAAATTACTCCACGTTTTGAACTGACAAACATAAGCATTTTATTAAAACCCTGTATACTACATCTGGGGTATAACATTACAATTTGTTTTTTTATCAAGGGTATTAACATTTCGTTTGCCTTCTAACAATATAAGGAATATACTTCTCCATTGAAAGTAAAAACCTAACTGAAAAAAAAAACTTGGCCAAAATATCAATGTTATTTCTATACTCTACTTAGTTAAAATAGTGGGTGCTACTACTAATTCTGAATGAATGTTAATGTTATCAGCCAGCCCCCATGAGCACTTAGCCTAATAACTCTCGAAAACACATATAGAGCTCCTACAAAACATTTCCAACACATAAAAAAGTGAGATTTAAGCTTTTCCACATTCTGAGCTTGATAATGAATATGTGAAAATCTATCTGGTTAGCAACCAACAAAGGAAACTCGCAAGAAGTTAGCAGGTGCATAAATTATGTTACGAGTCTATATACGCCCATAACAGACAAAAATCTTCCCCATAGACATACAGCTCGACCTACTTTCTTTACAAAGGTAAGACTCGTTTCGTTCCTCTATTCTTCCAGATTTACTGGCATTCATGCTCGTAAGGGTTTCAGCTTTATTTAGTTTCTTATATTCCCTTTTGTCATGTTGGATTCTTTGATGGATAGACATATTGTATGGGAGGGGCGCCTCAACCATCACCGCCGTCACTGTATGGGACGCGACAGCATGAGCAGCATATATAACCACGCTACATTCCCCACACATTTTGTTCTTGCTACAATCCAAGGCCTTGAAATTAAGGCAGTCAACATTACGCGTTCCATGCAAACTAGACATTTGGCTCTATCTGCAGATCTGGCAGAGTCGATGATCTACACAAAACACTCGAGACGGATAAACAAGTTTGACATAGCGGCGGTTAAAAACAGCCGCTCGTCTGTTCTCTTTAACTTAGTACTGACCTTTCCTTGTAAATACACACTTAGATGATTGTACCAGCCTCTCAGTTTCTTTCACAATTAGGTGAAAAAAAGAAAAAAAAGATAGCGCTTTTAAAGTATACATGGCAAAAACAAATCGTGAATAATTTGGGATCACGACTTTCAGTTTCCCCATCATCTATCATGATATAACGCATTTTAGAGATAGTTCAGGACTTATACATGCATGCACTGTCGGTTCAGAAGCTCAACTGTTACGATCTCAGACTATCCACGACTTCCATTTTCTCCATTATCTATCATGATATAATGCATTTTAGAGGCAGTTGAAGATTTATTAACGCACTGTCGGTTCAGATGCTCAACTGTAACGATCTCAGACTATCCACGACTTCCACTTTCTCCATTATCTATCATGATATAATGCATTTTAGAGGCAGTTGAAGATTTATTAACGCACTGTCGGTTCAGAAGCTCAACTGTAACGATCTCAGGCTATTCATGATTTTAAGTTAATAACCACGAGCAGAAATTAGTAAAAATATTTAACAAGTCGAATTTAAATCTGACAGTAGTAGGGGTGTAAAACAAAACAGTTAAGCATGCAGTCTTACGAGATCTATATATATATGTTAGTTTGACTGTAAAGTTGAGCGATGTTTATTTTAAAACTAAGAACATATGGATTCCTGCATTATTTACAAACTTTATCAACGGAATAAGATCACTATTCCGCTCCACTTCTTAACCTTACAGATAGTCTGTTTTTATCCATTGGTCATTTTTGTGATTCTTCTGCACATTCGAGTATGTTTGAATATTATCAGATAAGTCTATCGACAGGGTTTACCTATTCGTTTGACAATAGTAACACATACCTATAAACCGATTTCCTTATGGCGATATATACACAACGCTGATAAAATACATTTACGGGTTTTTCTGAAAACCTAGACATGTATGCCAACAAACTGTTTAAAATACTATTTTAAATTTAGCGTACGTTTTCCAACAAACGTAATTTCTTACAGTAGATGATACTAAGATGGTTTATTTGAGGATAATCTTGTTCAAACTTGGTCAGTTCACAAGATAAGATCATACATGCTCTTTGTGGTTTATACATTTGATACCAGAACGAAGAGAAAAATTCCAACCCTTAATTTTATTCTCTCTTCAAATTTTTTTATGTTCAGTTTTAGTTTTTGTTGATGGGACCACAAATTATGCAAACAGTATTTTAAAATCTCTGAATGCTATAAATTCTCATTTTATATTTTTATCCAGTTTTTATTATTGCTTTCAATTTTTTCCTTACGTATTTTAAATCATTATTTCAAATTTTCCATTTTCAAAAGAAGTTTTACAAAAGTATTAAATGATTTCTTTATGATATTGGTATTCAACTAATTATGCAGTAACGTTTGACCACACAATTTATAGAAGTTGAAACAAATAAAAACTTCTCATGTCAAAAGTTTGTGGCAAGAGTGAAGACCAAGACAATGAACCATGCAGAGAACCTTTTGAAAATTCAACAGTTGAAGTAAAAGCAGGTTTTCTCAAACTATGTAAGTGTTTTGACCTATGACTTATTGGTGTGGAATAAATATTCCTCATCAAATCGACATACCATATTCTAGGTGAAATTTATAAATACTGAAATCTAAAAATAAAAACTGCAGCTGAGATACTACATAACATAAAATAATCAGAAACTAGCACTATTCACCTCCACTCACAAAGTTGGTGGGAGGTTATGTTTTCACCCTTGTGTGTGTTTGTTTGTTAGGAAGATTCCTTGGAAACGATAGAATGAAGGATTTAGATTAAATTTGGCATACATTCGGACTAAACCCAACTTAGAAGTAATTAGTTTTGTAGGGTCATGGTCAAAGCAAAGTCATGATAATCCAGAAAACATGTTAACATGGGGACAGTTACTAGTTGTAACTGTTATGGTGTGAATGCCTTTTCTAAGCTGGCAAAGCATGATTTGAATTAATTATAATTATCATATAACTTCAGTATTAGCCCTGTTGTATTTTAACATTATATTCTTCATTCAGTCCCTAGGGTTCTTCAAGAAGAATAAAAGTATATAGAATAGTAATTCAATCACTACTGTGTTTGTTGTATTCCAACCAGCCTGATGAGATCTGTATTGAGCAAAATGCATTGTGGGTATAGTGAGTTGAAATACTATTAGACACTTTTCTTCTTGAAAAAATCTAAGGGACTATATAAAGATTGTAGTATTAAAAATATAATAGGTCTAATACTAATGTCTTATGACAAGTATAAGTTATATTTTTAACTGCTAATTTGGAGATATAGTTGAAATTTTATTAATAAATCAATGTGGCAAATACTTGAAATGTTAATCCTTTTTTGTAAAAAAGATGAGATTGCAAAATTTTAAGTTCAATGTTGTCTTTTGTTTCTTAAATTTATAATGTCAAGTGGGTTCTTAAAGGGTCAAATAAAAGAAAGTCAAATATGGCAATAAATATTACCAGGATGTTTTAGAAGGTTCCAGAAGATCCAAGTCAAAAAGACTCTTCAAATGCAAATAAATTATTTTAAAGGATATTCAACTAGAAAGAGAAAAAGAAAGGTCTGTGGGAATAGCTTCATAACTACTTAAAGAATATATATATCTAGTTCCTGTAGAAAAGTGAAGGATATATATCTAAATAAGATTTGTAGTATACAATTAAATATGGGTTTAATCAAAAAACTTTGTTTTACCCAGGTTAAATATATATCTGTAAAATAAATAAAATAACTCCTTAATTATCCTTCCATTTTGTAAACAATTGTTACAAATAATAATTAAAAAATAAGAAAAATTCAAAATTTTTGTTTTAGTAGAACAAGGAACAGAAAGAGCACTCCAAAATTTTGAGGACTTTTTTTTGCTAATTTAAATACAGCAAATCAACCAGTAGTTAGTTATATCTGTATGAAAAACTTCAGAGAAATTTGTTTAACCAATCAGTAAGTTTTGATGCAATTCATGAATGAAGACTATAAATCTAGTTTATTTTCTAGTTGTTAGTAACAGGAAACTATAGTGTGTTGACATGTAAACATGTAAAAAATATGTTTGATCAAACGTATTACATAATTGTGGTCCACTTACAAAAATTACTTCTATTAACAATCTCATCACGTTCATCTGGTGTAAAACAGTATAAGAGAAGTTACTGGAGAATACTGTGTAATGTAGTGGGTAATTACTTCTGGTACATTATGTAATTTAATTTGAATTATGCACATAAATTATGATAAAAGCAACAGTTTCACAATTTATGCAACAGTATATTTCTAACAGCAGCAGTAGATGTGAAAAATAATGACAGTGAATATACTGATTTTCTTTATATGTTATACCTAAATTTCCTGTCTAGCTAGTTGAAGCACTTACAAAAACATTATGCTTGTCACTAAAACCAATATCCACTTAAAATACACAAAAATGCTTATAGTTGCTAGAAATTCCAGTTTTGAGAAATGTTTCTATCAAGAAATATATGTAGCTCTTACCAGGCTAGTCTGGTTATTTATTGTTGAAACCAGTAAGAGTTGTGTTTCCAATTCGAGTCGAGATATTTTCCATTTGAGGAAAACCTTCATACTTTCAATATTTTCATATTCTGTTTGATTCATTTGTTTATTACCTTGTGCATTAACCTAAGTCAAGCAAGTGATAAATAACTCCTTTGTTCCAGAAACTTAGTTTTCAAGTCCTGTTACAATATATACGTTTCATGCTTCTTGGCTATTAATTTAATGAAATACCTGAGTTCACCAGCTTATGACTGATGTACATTTCATTAACTTACCCATTACCAACAAACACATGGATAACATGACACACGTCTTTCTTTGTTGTTTTAAGCAATATATTTGTCAGATGTACTAAAAATAACTTATCAATAAATTTTTAATAAGTTATCATAAAGGTCTGGAACAAAATATATCATTTTAGTAAAAAAATGTCACCTAATATAAACACTGTACATAATGTACCCACTTAAAAACTGTCTAAACTGACAAGCTATATGGAAACATAATTCAGCATACATTTATTGGTTGGCTTTAGCCACTTATGAAGCAGTTTTTAAACATGAACATTTCCTATTATCTAATCATGAAACAAAAAAAACAAATAAACTGGATGCATATGTAGTATTGTGTGTTAATATAATCATTTATTTATTTATATATATATATATATATTATATACACACATTTAAGATGTTTACAAAAGTAGAACTGTTATTATGAAACAAAATGTAGTACTATACTTACTTTTTGGAAGATTTAGGCCTAGCAGCACTCCGTGGCCTACCTGACCTTGCTCTTGCAGACTTTTGACGTAGTGCCATTTGTGCACCTTCTGGAGTATAAGCTAGGTAAACATGGGATAAGTCCAAGTTTTCTTTCTAAAGCAAAGGTAAAACATTCAGCTTTTTTTGACAACCCCATCACATTTTTTATATTAAAATGAAATGGAAGTCAAATTTACTAAAAAAAGGAAAACAATCTTACAATTTCAGAAAAGTGTATACCAAGTTGCATTACAATCGGCTTCAAATTACCAATTATATGAATCATTAATCTTTAGTTTCAACTTTTCTCACTGTGATGAAGTCACTCAGAGTACATGTAGAAGATGTGTCACTCTGTATTAGTAAGTGTTCTTTACAATGCCTTTTCATCTGAAGTTCAGTTAGTAAACTTGATATAATTATTTTTTAACCCATCTAGTGCATGGAACATTTAAGTTGCTTTGAACTGATATATTGAATGCTTAACAGCTGTACAGTTTATTAAAAGATTAGCTAAAACTTTAAACCTAATACAGCCAAGAAGCCCTTCAGAAGAAGATGACTGTTACATTCTTAGTTAGCTTATAAACAAACTGTGCATCTCCTCAATTCTGTGGTTCAAATACAGGTACAGACACTCTTATTTTCCTGTTCTCAGATTACAAAATAATAATAAACAAAATACACAGTGTATTGACCAAGAGGATAAGCTGTGTTACAAAACATATTGAACTTGCTGACTAATTTGGCATCACTTCAGTGACACAGAAGACAAGTAAAATACACCTTTCATTTTTCCAGTTTCATTACAAGCTAGTCTATTATATTATATTATGATATTACAGTCTCCATTCTTTGTAGATGCATGATCTTTTACAAAGTAATAAACATATACACATATTGAACAGCATGAGCTTAAAGTAGTTGCTTCAAAAGGCTGTATAGTTAAGTTATATCAAGCTTCAAGTTTTGTTGTAATAAGTAATACCTCTGTGTGTTTTATTTTTATTTCAAAGTTACGTTTAGTGGATGGGATGGCCTAGATGAATCATAAAAGTTCTTTGCTATCCTTAAAGTTCTGTTACATAAACACCCCCCCCTAAAAAAACTCAAACCTTAAGACACTAATTTTTAACACTTTCATGTTCTATCAACATTTAGTTTAATGAACTTATGTGTCCTGAAGTCATTTTTGAGCAAGTTCTAGTGTTTAAGGCCTAATCAAATTCCAAGTTATAAAATTAAAAGCAATCTATTATCATTATACTTTCTTATTTTAGTAGAACTTATCATTTGAAAACATTCTTACAGATTCTAAAAACTATTTTGTTATGGATGAGTCAAATAAAGCTTATTCCACCTTTCAAATCTCTGATCCATCTTTCATTTTCAATTATTGTATCGAGCTTCTCCTAGATTGACATATTCCAAAGAAACTTGTCACATGTACATGGTCAAATCAACATTCAGCTCAAACTCCAATTTGACATTCTGTGTGTTTCAACATTTAACAAACAAAGGTTGAAACCACTTGTTATGCTATGCTAACCAATATATACACCTGGAAAAAAGTTAAGCACCCCCGTGTTTTTTTCAAGTGATTCAGATTCGACGTTCTTGTGACTGATTATAAATTACCATTCAATCTAAACGTGTT